TGCTGGTGTGTGCGGCGCGGCGACGGCAGCGGGAGGGCCGAGCACGAGGATGCCGAGTAAAAACGGAAGCCGACCGAAATAGCGCTGCCTCGGCGCTCGCACACACGTGTGTATTTTTGGTAGCTTCAAAGTTCAGAGTTTCCGCAAGTTGGAGAACGGTGTTGTTCCACCTCCCGGCTGGCTCTCCCAGCGCAGACCCAGCCCCTTCCGTTTAACCCTCTCCTGCCAGCCACGCACTGAACCCCGGCTTGACGTCGCGAACATACAACGTTCATGGACCCCTAACGGTTGACTGTCTGGTTTTTCTGTCTCTGCACGGGAGGGAACAGGGACAGCTCGCAGCAACGTGTATGGCCCCGGTTTTCTTTTTCTTGGGGCGGTTGTAGATCCCCTCCCACACCATGTTTTGAAGGAGAATGTCTCTTCAGTGTGATGTGTATCTGGCAACAGCTACCACTCCCCCGACAAAAACCAGTGCTACTACCGGGCTGAAATGACATCTAAATGAGTCGCCGCCTTCGCTCGAAGTTAAAACGCGTTTCATCTGCTTCTTCCTAGTCTCTGTCCACCTTTAAAAAGCTTTCAGGGGAATTTGTAGAAGCCCCTGGCTTAATACCAGGCTGGCAGCCTGCTCATCATTTCCCTAATTACCTACAGCTCCACTGAAAGTCAGACGGCCTGTCCAACGCATTTCGTATTTCCAGCGTCTAAAAATATTCCTGACACCCAGAGGGGGCCCTGATAATTATCAATGTCTTTTAGAATATACTCGACCTAAAATATCTGCAATGTCTTCACCAACTTTTTTCCCACTTACATTTTCCAAAATCCTGTTATAAGGACCACGTGTCCCTATGTCATTTTGCTTGTCCTGAAGAACTTGAAGGCTCCTTGAGGTCCCTTGCAAAGAGAGGGCACCGATCTGATAACTGGATTGGAAGTCAGGATTACTGGCTTTAATGCCGTCGATTCATGCTGCTCTGTTCTTTTAAAGTCTTCAAAATATTTAACATTTATTAACTCATTTGTCCTTGTGGATTCTCACTTAGAGGTCTGTTACGTAACATCCTTAAAAGGGAAACAGGAGAAGTCATAGTCACGTTTTCTTGTGAGGAAAAAGCTGTCTCTGAGGAAGGATCCTTTTCTCTGGGGATTTTAATTTGGTCCATACCAGGAAATTGTGTACTTTGAGTATGTTTATTGTTGTACACACTCACTTCATTTCACGGCTTTCATACTATGCCAGCAACAACCTGTGTTCAACCTTATCCGCCACATGAAGTCATTTTTTTGTATTTTAACTGCAAGAACGTGTCCTCCATTCTGAAGGTTTATAAAGAATATTATTGCTTGAATAAACAATCGTAGACCTGTGTTCAAGTTTGACTCTCTCTGGCTCGTTTTCTGGACATACCTACAGAAAAATATTTTTAAATTGGATGCAACTTTGAATAAGAAGGTATTTCCAATGGACTTCATAAAGAAAAAAAAAAGACTGCAGCCACTTTCAGAGTGGCATGACATTTTAATTTTTTTCATGTCATCAACTGTTTGGTTAATAAAGGGAATGTGTATGTGAGTGACCAAGGGTCTCATTTTTTCATGTTATTTTGCAGTGTTATTATTGCAGGATATTTTTAGAGGCCTTGCACGCTTCAGTAGCACTAATGCCTAGGCTTTTGTTCTTTCTGGATCATTTTGCTCTCAAATGAGTTCTGAGCCTCTCTTAGGCTGTCACACCCAGTCTGAAGAAAGCCTGCCTCCTGGTGCCTCTTGTCACCACATGAGGTCTCCATAAATCCTGACCTGGATTAAGCAGAAGTGAAACCCACCATAATCAACATCTAGGACTCCTATTATCTTGAGAAATAATCCAGTTCCTCAAGCAATTTAGACACTTAAAAATCCATACAGAGAAAAACAAATGAACCCAAATTCTCCCAACTAACATTTTCTCTGAAAAAAAAAAACCAGAAGTTGTGAATTCAGGATATATGGGAAAAGGATGTAAGAAAAGAAAATGATGAAAAGGAGGCAAATGTGAGTAAAAACATAGCTCTGTCTTTTTTCAAACAAAGGTAGGTAACAACCAGAGTATTTGTCAGCTTTCTAAAGCTTGCAGAATAATTCCTCAGATTTAACTGCCTTTGTGCTACAATCAATCTTCCAATGATTAAAAATGTGTTTTGGGGACCAGCAAATGGCATAATGGTTATGTCATCGGACTCTCATGTAGTCAACTGCATTTCAAGTCCCAGACTTAAAACTCACCCCGGGCGCGTGTGTGCACACACTCAAAATTCTGAGAGTAGAATGGAGAAGGGATTGCAGCATGGCCATCCCCTCTGCAGGTGATTTCTTGTTTTCTGTCTCTCTGTCTCTGTCTCTCCAGCGAGCACACGTGCCCTATAGCAAAAATCTCCCTAAAAAAGAAAGCATGTTTAAAATTACCTATTTCTTCTTGCAGTACCTTTGTATTATAAATGCATAAACCTCTAATATAGAGATTAGAATTAGAACTAAATTGTCTCCTGCTCGCTGAGGCCAAGCTATTTGACAGAGTTCCTAGCACAGTGCGGTCATCGTTGGCTGCTAATTTGCTCGGTAGCAGCAGAGACCCGCTGATGAGTCACTGAGAGGCAGAGCTGCGACCAGCGCTTGCGTTCTAGGACCTCAGACCTCAACTGGTTCCCCTCTCCAAAATACAACCCCACATCCTCTGGGGCTCTGGGGGGTCAAGGACTCTACAGTGCCCGGGAACTATCACCCTCACGTCCAACATGTTCAGGCTCTGGACACACCAGTCCTGGTCACAGAGAGGGAGCAGTCGAGAGCTAGGGGCCCCAGCACCGCAGGGCCCTTACCCTGGAGCTCCACCTGCTTCCAGAGATGCTAAGCCTTGAGCTGACCCGTGAGGTCAGTGGTTCTCCAAACAGCATTATTGCAATCACCAGGGACCGTGGTTGGACCGGCAAGTTCCCAAGCCCTACGTCAAACCCACAGAATTGGAAATTGGAGGGACGGTGACTGAAAGTCTGTCCTAGCTGTCTTCTCAGCAGAATTTACCAACCACCTATCCAGAGCTGCCCCATGGCTTC